CGATTTATTGATTGATTTTTTAAGGAAAAAAAAAGATTTCAATATCTATCTGTGATAATGATTTGATGATATCATAATAAATCTAGCCATCCACCCAATTAATTATATTTACTATCTACATATCAATATATATATATTAAGACAATCTATGTACAAATATGTGCGTGTAAAGAATATATGTAAAAATATGTAAAAGAAATGTACGTAAAAAGAAATACAAGAAAGAAATGTCAATAATTACATACATTTGTAATAAAATCAAGAATCACACTTAATTTTGATGACAATTTGATCCAAAAATATATGATCACGTTTGCAAATTTTCCATATTACGCAAGAAGATTTATAATTTATATTTAAATAAATAAAATAATCTCATGCGGTGTATATAATCATTGTTATAAAATCTGTGACATCAAGTATCATCATCATTATTATTATCAAATAAAATACTTTAGGTTGTTCACATGTACAAACAAACAATAAAAAAATTGGCAATCATTGATTTACTTGATTTGCATTATAATGCGTCATCGTGTAATTCATAATTATGTAATAGATATAAATTGGGAGAAATGAGAAATTAATTAGTGAATGGTAATCCGAACAAAATAATTATTCTCTTTCTAATAAATAATAAATAATGATATAAAGAAATTCCATTGTTCTTATTGATACCCTCGATTCAATCAATCATTATTTATTTTACATTTGTGTGTGATTAATTGGTTCTTTAAATAATTACATTATTATTATTCAAGTCTTCTGAATGTATTTTCTTTGTTCTTTAATTATTTAGGAAATGAAAATTATATAAATAAAAGATTTATTATTATTTTAGTTGGTGATAAAAAATATTTTATTTTACTGATTAATTATGTACAAGTTTTATGGATGTAAGATACATTATATTAAAATATGTTGTAAGTTCACAAAATAAACATGAGCTTTAATGATATTTATGATTTTAGATTTTTTATTTAAATTTTTTTTTGTTTTTGAAAATTAAAAATTAAATTTTTCCTTTCAAACAGAAAGAAATTTTTATGCAAACAGAATTAAGAAATTAAGAAATTAAGAAATCACGACTAAGAAGAATTCCTGCAAATAAAATTATACAATTTTTTCATTATTACGCGTAGAAAATTGAAAAAAATGAAAAATAAAATAATAAAATATAAGTTTTTTTATGATCTTAAGTTGTATATTTAATTATTATTCGTTTTTTTTTTAATA